TTGGTGTTCCAAGGCTGAGCGGCGCTCCTTGCCATGCTTGGGTACAGGTGTACAATTTCATTGGAGGTCCAAAGTATCATACCCGAGGGCCAAACAGAAGAAATACTGCTGTTCGTGGGGGATGCCCAGATTGGGCTCTGCGGTGCTAAGCAAGTCGATGAAGCGATTTCAAAGGAGTATGTTCAGCATCATAGAGAAAGAAGCAGGTTTCTAAGCTCCCCTGACACCTTTCAGGCTAGTCCTGACAGGTGGTGTCGACCTATTCTAGTCTAGTGGTGGGTTTCCTCTCTTTATCACACGGGTGCTTATTCCAGAGGATCTAGATTCTTACTACAACTCCCGGGTCAGTACTAGTGACCTCTATATATTGCTTACATATCGTTCTACATTTCTTTTGTTTCAACACTATTTCCGAACCCCCCCACAAACCATGAAGATGTATCTCTTGTGGATAAGGCCTCACTCCCTTAAAGTGGGCGGTTCACTATCATGCTTGAAACGATTCAAACGACCTCTCTATTTTTTCTGGCTAAATTATATCTTTAGAGTTTCGGCAGGAACACCGGGGGGGGTTCAGTTCAGTATTCCCAACCGTCCTGGGCATCCTATAGGGCCCTGGCGGGCTTGCAGTCCCGGGCGTCCCGGGCAGGGTGGGTAAGGACGGCAGGGCATGGCGTCTGTTTTGATAAAGACGGCCGTCCAAGGGGTTGACGCCTAGGCCTGGGAGTCTTAATACAAATTGCATCTTCCGGCCGTCATCACCAGGGCCTGGTCGTCATTCACAGGGCCATCTGCAGGTGAGACACCTATAGGGCCCGGCCGGCCGTCCCGGGTAGTGGTTAGGACGGATTACAGGACGGGCGTCGGTCCAGGCCAGAGTCCCAGAAACCGGCGTCCGTCCCGTCCGAAGCCAAGGACCGACGGACTAGCCGCTTGGGAACACTGGTTCAGTTAATGATCTTAAGCATGCGCATGAAAAAATGTGAACATAATGAGATGGCGAGTTAGAATGAGAGAATAGAAATGATCGTGTTTGCTTGTAACTCCGCTCATCTCACCGGGGCGCGAGTATGGAAAAGACAAGAGTAATCATATCCAAACATAACAAAGTTTTTAACACCGTCCCATGTCCACCAGGTAAGAACCTCTTTTTCTCTAACGTTCTGTCACAAAACAAGGGAAAGTTGCAAGAAGTTCTCGGCAATCTCTTACCATGAGAGAAACATGTGCTAAGAACTCCTGATTACTTTAGATTACACCAATAGAACTGGTGTACCCACGCGTGAGCCGCAACCCTGTTTCAGCCCGCTAGCACCCCGCTACCCTTCACAGTTTCTGCATGTGTCCACCTCAAAGACACACATCTCGCATCGACTGTTTCGAATTTTTTTTCCGCCTCCTCTAGAGAGTCGGTGACCCACACATGGAGACCGATCTAGCGTGATCTAGGTGGTGCTTGAAATCAGTCTCCCAACATTCGGCCTTACCTGTCTCGCTAGCGATGTACTCATTGTAATTTAACTTGGCAACTCTCACCCGATCTCATACAGCCAGTCACACCGATCCTGTCATTTTGTTTTTGGAGTCTTTCAGTGCCCGAAGCTACTCTTGGATAGTGGCCATGAACGACTATGCAGAGTTTGTCGCGGCTGCCGTGAGGACTTATGCCCTGAACGTCGTCACCCGTGTGAAAACAGCCTCGGATTTGCTTCCTTCCTTTCGTGTATGTCGAAGGGCAGCTCAGGGGCTATCACACAAGCGTTACTGCACGGTAAAGCAGCGTTACCTGGGAATCGGGGTGGGAAATTCTTCCCCGGATAGTGGCTTACAGTTCAGGTAAGTTCCTGGGGTCGCTCTAGGGTTCCGTGTCTGGAGCACGTTATTTCATACTTCCTTTCTATCGTGTTCTTTTCCCCTTATTCTCGTACCTAGGCTGCCAATTTGGGTGAAAGGCTATAGCATGGTAATCCCTTCTTCGGCTCCACGATATCGTGTAAGAGGCTAAGAGGCTTTTCTGCTCATAGCATATGTTACTAATAATTCGGTAGCATGGGAAGCGGCGAAGGAAGGTATTTTATTCCTTAGACATAGAGAATGGGTTCAAGAGCCAAACTAGTGCCGGTGATTCCCTAGGCATGGCGGGTTGGGGAGGTTGTAAGGGGGATAAACTCCTGTAGTGTTGAGAGAGTTTTCCGCCTGGGGGATTTGCATTTTTTCTGGTGTCGTGACTGGAATCCCGCCTTCTTCCACTCGCCCGTTCGCTGCGCGGGTGGAAAACCGATCCGGGAACAGAACTTGGGGTTGTGCTTTGGCCCCGGGGGGGTGGAGCATCTTATCAGATTCGGCTCTATGCGATTTGACAAGTGAGGGGGTGAATAGTCTTAGGCTCTGTTCGGCATGTACCAATAAAAATATATCGCAATGAAAGTTGAAAATGGCATATATGCCAATAAAAAAATTAAGCAGTAAAAAAATATACATGCGTTCGGTAAACATGCCACAAGTGTGTCGAAAAAAAGAAATTGCAGTCACACAACTCAGCTTAGGGCAGGTATCCATGATACACTGTACTGTGAAAAAGCTTTTAACTCCTTTTATAGTCTTTCTACTGCACTGCAGAATTGTTCAAGTTTATCTACAACCATGTAACTGGTAACTATGTACCAATTAGCTTCTACCCTCTGGGCTTCTCAGTCATAATAGGTATATCTTTGTGATTTTCATTCTACTCTTAGTTTTAGCAACAAAATCCACAGTACAAAATTGGAGGATAACAATTGAAGTTTATTTATAACCAGGAAATTACAAGTAACTAGATAGAAATAACAGTATAGAGTTAATTGTTATGTTCACTCTTCTCAATTGATAAATGAAACTCTTTATTATAGTTTAAAAGTTTACGAATTTTGTGAGTGCCATCTCATGGTTCTAAACCTAGCCCTAGTATAAAAATATACAATAAATTTTTATATTGGCAATAAAAAAGTATTGTCATTTGATAACAAGTGCCAAACACACCCCAATATAAAAACTTTTATATGCCAAAAAATATGCTATAAAAGTGACATGCCAAACGGAGCCTAAAAAACTCTTGTTTCTAGGAATGAGGCTTACCAATAGAGGCTTTATTGGTAGATGTAGCGGTGGGTAGTAACGGGATATAGAGGTTGGAACGAAGAGCACGAATAGATATCTAATGCCTAAAGAAACCGGATGACAAAACACTGGCTGGCGCCGGGCAATAGCAGAGAAAAAGGGAGATATATATGAATACTAGTGAAAGGCCAGCTAATGAAGGTGGAATCCAGAAAGGAAAACAGGAAACTGTTTTTATGAGTCATAGAAATTACCTTCATTAGTAATCCCAGGGTGCATCAGAGCTTCACCCCTTTCCTTTCATGTCATACCACCTTCAATCCTTCCCCCCCGGCCGCCGCTATCTTTTCCCACACACACTTAAGGTGGGGGTTCTATGAGTGACAGTCCCAGCCAAGACCAAACACTCTTCGTCCAAAGTTTTGAATCAGGTTTGTTTGCCCTAGCGGTGCCCATATGCTGTGTCCCCAACCGTACGGGGGGACTGCCAAGAGCCCACAACGGGACAGCCATGTGCAGTCCGTCCCGGGCGGTTAACGTGGAGGACGGCCGTATTTAGGTAGGACGGCGGGCCCTACGGGGTGAAACAGTGTTGGTAAGGGGGAGGGTGAGGGACCTCCGGGAGGCAGGGGATCACCAGGGATGGCGGGGGAGTACCGGGGACTGTTGGGGACTAAGGGGGACTACCGAGGAACAACATGTTATACCACAAAAAAACCTCATAAATGGTTGAAACCCTGTGGCTGAGGGTCATTTTGTTCATAGGATTTCAAGCAGTAGGACGGCAGTCCTCTCCTAGTCCCCGGCGTAGTCCGTCCTAGCATTGCCGGAAAGACGGACTACTGGCTATAGTCTGTCCCGTTCTACCCCATGGATGGACGTATTGGACGGTTGGGAACACTGCCTACATGACGTGTGGGTGGTGGCAACTTACAAGAGATAGCCAACCAAATGTCATAGTTGTTGGCGATGACAAAGGCTAGTGAAGGTGACCATCGTAGTCCAAATGGCCAGCGTCCGGTGTTCTTGGACGTGGGACCGACTGAGCAGAAAAATATAGGAACCATATAAGAATCAAGGTGAAGAAAACATCCGACGACTTCCCATCTATTTTCACGTTCGCTGGATGTAGGTATTATTCTATTGTTTCTAGTGTCCCTACCTCACTTTGCCGTCTTACCTTGCTCCCCGATATCCTATCTTGTATGGCAGTTACAACCCCGCGGATTTCTTTGTCTTCTGCCTATTTATATCCGGTAACACTTCACGCACATGACTAAAGTGTCAACATATAGTGCAGCAACAGCTCAATTGCGAACCCAATGTAGGCTTCCTGCTCAATGGCCGGCTTGGTAGTGATAGCTTGACCAAATCAATTCAACTTCGCTCACCACTCACTCTATCGCTAGACAACTGAAATCACTTAACTGTCACCTCATACTAGTGGAAATGCAGATGGTGTAAATTGTGCTAAAAAATTTCTTGAAGTGTGAAGCGGTGAGTGAAAAGCGCAGGAGGGTAGAGATTACCATGCTGCTCTTTGTATAGGGTCCCTCGGGCGAAGAAGACTGAAGAAACCCTCCCACAAGGCACTCCGCAACTAGACGTAGGTTCGGTTTTTATCTTCAGTTCGTGCGCGACTGGTGGCTCTTCTTTTGACTGGGTGGTCGTTGTGTGGGTTAGGGCTGCATCTGATTGCCCTAATTGTGGTGGAGGCATTGTGGATCCGAAAGGGACGGTAACCGGGCCCTCGCGATGACACAACAGAGAGGTAGGGAAACCTTGATCTTTGGAGCAACTTTGGTGAGGAATACTTCTGAGCCCCGGGCCTGCTAGAAACTACATGCGCTGAACTCTCATACCGCAAATCGCCAGTTTCCGGGAAAATACGGAACACCACAAAACAGAACGAGACTGGCCAGAAGTAAAGGCCAAATTCGATATTAACTTTGCCAGAAAAAATTCAAGAAACGAATCTACAGCCAGCACCAAAAAGCAGAAAAATGAGGAACCAGATAATAGAGAGGGTTAACCAAGGGGGGCAAAACTGAATTCCCCAACAGGTTAGTTGTGCTTGAGAACCTAAATAGGGACAGGAGCACAAAACAAACCAAGAGAGAGGCGGAAGAGTCGCGGAAGAGTCGCGGAAGCTGGGGTTTGGAACAAGGTTTCGTATGCTGTAGAGGATCAGGCTTATGGGCACGCATAACAGCAGGCCCAGAGGCACTATCCAAGGAGTGGCGCCGACACTTATGGGGGGGTTCTCGTGAGGATTCCACACTATTCTGGAAGCGGGGTTGTCATGGGGAACAGGAAGAGTGCTGTCGGGGGTTACGGGGGGTTCTGGAAGGACAAAGAACTAAGGTCGCGTGATTCGGATTTTGCATCCTTGTCATGCGTTATTACTGAGGGCGTTACCAGGGAAATATCTGGAGGTATATGTTAGGATATATCCTATCTGTTGCCATCTCAGATATAGTTAAAAAAAAAACTCGAGCTTTGCGAGGGCAGTGGAACAGCCTATGGGGAGGGGCACCACTGGTAGAAGATGCTGAGGGTTGCAAGTAGAGCACCCCAAACAGTTTTTATTCGCAGAATCCCTTGCGTTAATCGTCCCGTGGATAGAAGCAAGGATCTTGTAGCCGCAGAGCTTGGCGTGTGGCTTGGAGAGATTCCACGAGTACCTTGGAAGCGGAGGCTAATAAGTAGCGGGTAGTAGCGCAGTTTCCGGAGTCCGTTTTAGTAAGTCTCAGTTCCGGTCCCGCCAGATGGTGGCATTGGCCTTTAGTGGGCGCCTCGGCATTTCGCAGGAATCTCCCAAGGTGTTTCTAACCTCGGGTATTGGCAAGTGATGATATGTAAGAGACGAGAGGGGGTTAATGCCGGGCACGGGCTGAGGGGATCTTGTGGTAATTAGCGGCGTAGATTGAGAGGGTCGGAGGAGGCAAGGGTAAAGTATAGAGCAGCCCCGGAATTGCGTGACGATGGAGTGCCCTCTCCATGCGCCTTAAGCCCCAGGGTGGTAGCAAGAAGGGGAATTTTGGGCTAAGGATGCTATGATAGAGCTTAGGTGTCTAGATCACCAAGCGGTCGCACAAGTCTCGGAAGCATCTCCCGGCAGGCACCCCTTGTTCCTCCCTTGATCCCCACCTGTACTGCCCCTACAGCATGAGAATTGGTGACAAATGTTCTTGAGAGAGGGCGTGTAAGGGGTGCTATGACTCTTCAGCTCGTTTTCGCTTAATTTTCGACTTCGAGGAATGCTTCCAACAGTATCTCTGCCCAGCGCTTGGTCCTTTCATCCGTGGCAACAACGGCATGATTTGCACTATCCTGGCCCGGGGCATATCCCTCCTTGATGGTGAGCCCTCCGCTCTGCGTTGCCTCGGCCACTGGTGAAGCAGAGGGCGGGTCCATAGGATCATGAACAGGACACAGGCTCGCAGTCTCGCTTTCCACCAGCCGACAAGAGCCTGCTGAAGCTTCAGAGGTAGTCTTAGGTATTGGATCAGTGCTTGCTTTACAAACACTATTTTCGTGTTGCTGATTAGAACTGCGCAAAGCTATTTGGAGATCGTGTCAACATATTCCATGCAAAATTTGTTCGGTGAAGGGGATAACCGAAAAATAATATCTGAAGACTGAAAATGCCTTACCTGGGAGGCTATTGCCGGGGTGGAGTGACTCCGGAAGCCCTGGTTTAGCTCTGGACGAGCTCCATCGCATGGTTGAAGCCATACCAGATGGAGCAGTACGTGAGAGAGATTGATTGCAGGTCTTCGATGGTTCGAATCCATCTGGGCCTTGATTCCATGACCTAGATCTTTCGGCCGCAATATTCCATCTCCTATCTCCCGTACGCTGAGCGCGGTGGGTATGGGAGTGAAACCGCCAGAGGTGGTTTGACTCTTTGCACTGATCAACGGGCACGTGGGGGCGCGGCGAGGCCGGGGTTACTCTAGGAGAGGAATCAGAGTTCCCGGAGTGCTCATAGCTACGCTCGCACATCTGATTTGGGGGTTCGGGATTGGGAGGAGCAGGAACAAAGGCCCGACGTGGCAACCACCCGACCGAGGCATTAGATCTCCATCTAGCCGTTACTGGGGTTGAGTCTCCCTCTAGACCCGGAGCCACAGAGACGCCCCTACTATATCTCCCCGCTGCTGACACAGTTCCGCGCGATAATCCCCCGGGCAGCGCCTGACGCAGGGATGAGGTAGGCTCCGGAACAGAAGGCATTGCGCTCTGTGTAGGGTAGGGCGCCGCAGCCTTTTTTGAAAGGCATTCCTCAGAGGGCGGCAGAACCCCCAGAGGGTTGCAGCTTGGTTGGATAGATTTCTGGGCCAAGGAAGGAAGTCTTTGTGTGTTGGTTGCTGGTTCCACGAGGGTGGAGTCGGTGATTGTCGCGACTGCCTCCCCCACTGCTCTACCGGCAGGGGGCAAATTGTCTTGCCTTCGAGCGCGTTTTGTGGAGCCACCAGCACCCGTACGATCTCCAACACAGTGGCTTGACCCACCGATCACGAGAATCTCAGTATTTTGGGCCTCAATGCTTAATCCATTCCCAGCTCCGTTTCCGCTCTTCTGTCTTCGGGCTCTCGAGACTGCGGATGTATTTTTGATACCTTTTCCACTGAATGGCAATTCACAAACCTTGTTTCCCGGAAGAGGTGGAAGAGGTAGCCATGTTGCCATTTGAACGCGCGTTTCTGGAAATTGGATATGCGAGGGTTTTTCTTCTGATTCCGAGCGGCACGACTGGGGGGAATAGGAAGAGGAACTTTTGTCGTTTTAGGCTCGGGGGAGGCGAGTATGAATATGGTTCGGTGGGTTGCGCGCACCAAATTTGACCCCCCAACACAAAGCGCTCAACGCTGCGAGGGCAAAGGGCTGAAAATTTTCCTAAAGATTTTTTTTTTGGAGCTAGTGTTCAAGGTTTCGTTGTTTTAACGCATAGCAAAACGATCGACTAGGCGCTCCGGGAGAAATAAGAATGCCCGCCTACCGGTAATTATTTTAGTGAAATTTCCGAAAGTGCCGAGGAGCTCTCCCCTCTATTTTCGCCGTGTTTAAAGGCGGCTCTGTGGCGTCTGGGTTGATTTTCGGCTACTCGGGTATATCAAGGTGCGAGTGGATTAGTGTTATTATAGGATAGAAGGGCGGCAGAATAAGGGCTTGGCAACTAAATTAGCTCATGTATTTGTCCAACCGGTAGTTAGGCCAAATGAGCCGCTGAGTTATCGAAAGTACTTCATGCCGGATCGGAAGCTTGTACCGGGGGTATAGCCGCCTATGTCAGAAAGGCGATTGCTCTCCTGTGGTAGCTCTGATGGTGGAAGAATTGTATCGATAGCTATCACCCGTGAAATCGAATAACCTAAAAGCCAGTACTCCTGGTAGTGTTGAGAGGAAATGTGGAGTGCAGTTCTTACAAGCAAGATCTAGGGATGGGATTGTGTGTCCATGGGTCGAATGCGGGGGATACTTTGGTTTTGGGGAGCAGGGTGACACCGAAGTTGTATTTGCAGTGGGATGAGCACAGAAACTACTCCTGATCGCCGTACCATATTTGCTGGGAATCCGGGAACCCTCCCAGATGACGATTGAGTTGAGCTGGCTTTCTTGAATGTAGAGTCACAGCACCCCGAGCACGATCAGGCCTAGCACGTGAAGCAATTAGAGGTGATGTTGACTATGGTATTGATGAGACTCGGAATGAACATTCGTTTTGGCGCTGGAGCCTGGAGGGCTTTCCATTGGAACCTGAAAGGTGTTTAAAACTGTCCTGCTGTATCTTCGCGCTAAAATATATGGGGTTGGCTTCTGAGTTCCCAATTTTCTGTCATCCTAACCCCTCCCTCCCCCCCCCCCCGAGTCCAGGTTTGAGGGGTTTAGAAGGATGGAGAGCTGGATACGGTTGGGGGACCAGCTCTAAGGCTGCGTCTCTCAGATTGGACGTTGTTCCCAATCTATGAACTGGAGAACTGATGGGCAACCACGGGATGCTATCCTGTGAAAGATCATTTCCAACAAGTATCTTTTAAGTCTCATATTATATGTAATTGCATTTCACTACTGAGATCATAATCTAGCAATTTGGAAAATTATTTTTTCTTACAGGAATGGTCAGTGATCTGGGGTTTTGTTCACTATGACGCTTTTTCTCAGTAGGGCGGTTTGAACGCAAAAAATTTCATTCATCCTTGCTTGATCTCCGGCTGCATTTTCAGACCTGCGTTGTTTTTGGGAGGCGGCGGGGGGTTGCATACAGCCAGCGGTAGAGAGCCGATACCAGTGGAGCTGGTCTGCAGGCATAGCACACGGTGCCTGTACTCAAGCAACCGGATCAGATGATGGAGACATACTTTTGATTCCATCATATCAAGGATATGATAGACCTAGGGATATAATGGATAAGCATGTACGGAGGTTCTTATAGTAATAGATCGCTTTTTCTCCATGGGTATGGTTCCGGAAGACCAAACATTATCTAATAGCTCACGAAATTGAGATTTCGGCTCCAACGGGGGGTAGCGCTTGAACAGGTGTTAGCCTCCCACCAAGAGCCTTGAGGAGGCGCGAGTGCAAACACCTGGTTTGCATATCTCAAGCCCAATTTTCATTTAATATCAATCGTAATCCATCCGTTGTAGCATGGAGTTTAGTTTCCCCGAGCTGTGGATGAAACGTTGTTGATCACCAACGGAACTTGACATCTAAGATACGCAAAACATGAGCTTATACCAGTGATTTTTTTTTTTGGAAGCCCCAAACGTTTGGTGAGGCTTTTATTTCTTAAGTTACGCTGGACGTCGTAGCTAAAATTGTCATAATTCTATGTGAAATTCCTACAGAAACTAGTCTTTTCCGAGCCCCAGCTCCGTGTCACAAGCTGTTGCCGCCCGCTGGGGGATGAATAAGGACCTGTTCAGCATGCCAAAAAAATACTATAGTATTTTTTTTTTAAAAAAAGCGATCTTGTATTTTTTAATGGTAGTACTACCATATTTTTTATAGAAAGTTAAAAAAATGGGAGAAAGCTAGAAGTTTGTAATATATGTTATAAGTTCCAATAACTCTCCTATTCAGATAATATTTAGAAGTTAGAAAAAAAACTGTATTATAAGTTAGGGATTGCCAAACACATTCATTCACCAAAATACTATAGTATTTTATTTTAGCTTATAAGCCATTTTCCTGAAATACTATAGTATTTTTTTTGTTGGTACATGCCGAACAGGGCCAAGTTAAACTACTAAACGGGGGATGTTGGGCTCACTCACTCACTCTCCGGGATGTACAGTACTCGTACTGCACATGGTGCCATCCTAACTTTTTATGGACAAAGAGTAAGTTTATTAATTTACCCATAACTTATTCGACCGGAAAGAGTTCCAAGTGCAGGAGTGGATAGTTTTGTATATGAGCCTTTAGATCCTCACGGCAAGGTTTTCACCAAAATAAAATCTCTGAATTCAGGACAAAACAAGGGAATGATCGACATAGGGCCCGTTTACCTAACGGTCTATTTCCTGAGATTTGTATTATGGGGATTGGCGGCACCGTCAGCCCAGAGTTGTGTTGCAACAGATGGTGCCAACTGTGTTTACCTAATTTTCAACTGTCGAAAATTTTGGGTGTTCGACGGTCAAAACTACTCGAGTAGATGTAGCCCCAGAGGTGCTGCTAGCAACGCCGCGTCGCCGTCAACCTCAAACATTTATCATCATTATGCCTGGGACCTGTCACGCCCGCAATCGCTATACCACCGCTGCTAATCGGCTCTGCTTTCCCCTGCACTGTTGGCGACTACGTTCGAAACCGGATCGGTTCGTCACCCCTCGTAGGTACCTAGAATATATTTATTGAAACCTTCATGGTATTTTTTTGGGTGGCGCCTTGACTGACACTTTTGGGCCATTGTGTCGAAGGAACTGACGAAGGCCGCTAGAGGAGGAGGCGGAAAGAGTCTTTCGCTTGCAAGGAGCCATTGTAGCTGGTACATAGAGGATAGTCGGGTTCAAGATTTTAACCGGTCAGAAATGGTGGAAAGGGAGAGGAACTTGGGAATTGGGAGTTCACATCTCTAACATCGTGTCATGTTGTAAATTTTTTGATTCACGCTAGGACAGTGCAGTGGGCGGTGCACTTGGCGGTGTGTTAGGTAAACATGGAATGAGAATTCAGCTCTTGACTCTGCCGACCCTTAAGACTCCCTTGACTGTGGGCACCTTAAAGGTGCGCTAGACAGCCGTCTGTAGGTAGACGGGCCCATATTGTGTCGTCTTGCATATCTCATACCTTACGAATTTCCTCTTTTTTGCCCATCCATTCCTCCTGACCTGCTTCCCGGTCCAATACGTTAGAATCTAGCTTT